GTCAATTGAGACCATTAAGTCTACTCATGTGCCATTTTTTATATTTTGTTTGATGACATATTAATGACATGGAGAAAACAACTTAAAAAGATATTGGACAAAACATTATGCCATGTAATATTATCACAAATCAAACGCACTAAAACCTGCAAAGAACTATGAACCCTAGAATGCTCCAGAGCAAAATTTGAATTTTCTATCATCAAACCCAATTACTAGTTTCATTAAAGCCACTGAGTTCATAAAGGCAGTAGATCTCATCAAATCAAATTAACCCTTCAATAAACAATATCAATCAAATTCTAATCCAATTCCAACAAAAATGCAATCAAACTCTAATCCAATTCCAACAAAATGCAATCAAATTGTAAATCAACTCCCAAATTTATCAAGAACTAGAAATGAAAATCGAAAAAAGAATGAAAAAACATGAACCTAGCGTTGAAACCAGCAAGACTGGGTTGGTCAAAACCCAGCCTTGTTGGTTGTGTGAACCCAACAGCTGGGTTCGTCAAAACCCAGATCTACGAGGTTTTCTTCATTTTGCTCAAACCCAGATCTTGCTTAAACCTAAATCTACAAGGTTTTGTTCATCTTGCTTGAACCCAGATCTTGCTTGAACCTAGATCTTGCTCAGACCCAAATTTTAGAAAATAAGTCAAACAAAGGATGGGAAGGAAAGGGACGAGAAGTTGGCACCAAAAAAAGGAAAAGAGAAGGAGAAGCTACCAGAGACAAGGAGAGGGAGGGAGTTGTCGAAGTTTAGACTTAATGAATAAAGGGGAGAAAAGAGGAAATTAAGGAAAGAAGATGAAGTTAAAGGCATTTATGTAATTTTGAAGTTTTTATTATTTATTAAATGAAATGGGTAGAGTTTATTCGCAACATGGCATAGGTTTTAGTCCGAATAAGCATTTTTTTCGACTTGTATTATCCATGTCATCAAACAAAATATAAAAAATATCACATGAGTGACTTAACAGCTCAAATTAACGGAAGGACTAATGTTGTACATTTTTTAAAGTTAAAAGATAAAAAAATGCAACTTTATAAAGTTGAGGGACCAAATTTAGCATTTAACAAAAAAAAAACAATGAAGGGCGTACACCCACGAAACTTGCAGATTCTTTCCTTCTCTGATTTCCATGATTGCCCCTCAGTTAATAATGTCGACATTTTCTAGACAATCCCTCGTCAAAGATCCAGCTTTTGTAAAGCATCCGGGTCAAGTGGTTTCCCCTGGCCCAATGTCATTTTCAAAAACAAACTTTGAAGGGCATTTTAGTCATTCCGTCCATGACAGATATTTTCCTCGAAAACAAAGATGATAAATTACTAAATATAATAGCGAAAGTGGGATGCCCTGCGTTTTCTCGTGATCTATTCTCTCTCGACCATGGACGCGTTCACTTCCTTCTTCGATTCCCAATCAAGGGCCGGCTGGAGCTACGATACGCTGAAGAACTTCCGTGAGATCTCGCCGGTCGTACAGACTCATCTCAAGAAGGTACTCTCTCCGGCGAATTTTATTTATTTTTGGTTTCTTTGCTGGTTTCTCCCGTCGTTGAGAACGATAATGAAAAATTGGATATGATTTCTCTGATCTTTTGTTATCGTTGTTGTGATAGCTGAGAATAAGCGATTTCTTTCAAGTAATTGCTGTTTATTCATTATTAGCAATTTTTAGGGTTTCGCATGGAATGTCTGTTTTGTAGAATTTGATGACGAGTGAATTTGGGATAAGTTTTGGTGATTATTTTGTGTTAATTGTGGTACGGAAATACCGAGGGAAAGAAGTTGTCCAAGACGGAATTTATTTCCCGATTTGATTGTTCGGATGTGGAAGGAGGATTGATTATATCTGAATATTAGAGAGATAGGATACTCGTTAATTAATTCTTCGATTTGCAGGTTTACCTCACTTTATGTTGTGCACTTGTTGCATCCGCCGCTGGTGCCTATTTGCATATCCTTTGGAACATTGGTGGCCTTCTTACAACATTTGGATGTATGGGAAGCGTAGTCTGGCTTTCCTTTGTTCCACCACATCAAGAGGTAGCCTCCCTTGATTTGATTTGTCTTAAGAGGGTTCACCCTCATGCTTTCTTGCATGTAGTTGGTACTTATTTTTAGTTTGCGGTGCTTGCAGCAAAAGAGGGTTGCTCTATTGTTGGCATCTGCGGCTCTGCAAGGGGCGTCAGTTGGTCCTCTGATTGAGTTGGCTATTGAAATTGATCCTGGGTACGAATACTGTTGTTTGCAGCTCTTACGTAGTTCAACCATGACTGCTAAATTTGAAAGTCTGGTGGTGTTATTGAACTTAATTGTTGCACATATATGTGTCATCTACTTGCTTCAATTTTTTGTTAACTTAATCTATAATGTAATTAAGTTCTCAGGCATCATCCCATGCTTAAGCAGCTTCCTTCTTCTTTTTTATTTTTATTTATTATTATTATTTTATTTTATTTTTTTGGGGTTTGTTAATTGTTATCATGCTTAAGTTTCATTGTCATGGGGTTTTATTGCCTGCCTTGGTTCTTTAGAAATTTGAATGCAATATTATTGAAGATTTGACCATCTATCCCATTGTGTTGGTGTATGACTAGTCACCTTTCCATGTATGACTAGTTACCTTTCCATACAATGTTAGGATGGTCTGTACTGACAATGGGTGTTTTTTTCGCTGTTAGTGTTCTGGTATCTGCATTTGTGGGAACTGCAGTTGCCTTTTGTTGTTTCTCTGGAGCTGCCATGTTGGCAAGGCGCAGAGAGTACCTTTATCTTGGTGGTCTGCTTTCATCTAGTTTGAGTATGCTTCTCTGGCTGCATGTTGCTTGCTCCATCTTTGGTGGCTCCACAGCACTGTTTAAGATGGAGGTGAGGAGCTAGAAAAGCTATTGTTGTTGTGTGGCATTTGACCAGTTTAGTTGCACTGATTAATGCATCCTTTTTATTTATTATTATTTTTGTAGATATACTTTGGCCTCTTGGCGTTTGTGGGCTATGTAGTCTTTGACACACAGGACATAATTGAGAAAGCACACTCGGGTGACTTGGACTATGTGAACCATGCTCTGACCCTTTTTATTGATTTTGTTGGTGTCTTTATCCGCATTCTGGTAATTATGGTAAGTTTAGCTCAGAGGGCTCAACTTTCTGCATACTTGCATGTCTATTTAGTTTACATGAACCATCGTACTGAAATGTATTTGTTTTGCAGTTGAAAAATTCAATTGAGAAGAATGGTGACAAGAAGAAGAAGAAAAGGAGTGACTGAGTTTCTGGAAAGTTGCTGGGCTGGAAAGATGGAAAGTCTGAAAGTTGTTAATGGATGTGATGAAAATAATGAAAAATATGTTGATGCTTGAAATGAAATCAGAGCATGTAGTGTGTGGGTAAGTTGATTTTACTATGTGAATATAAACCAGTGGTGTGTTTTGTTAGTATTTGCTTTTCATTTTCCTTTTTCGTATTCAATGATTTGTGAGGGGAAACTTTGACTAAACCACTAAATCAGGGTTTCTTCATGGTGAATGTGCTACGAGATGGGCATTTCTCAGCTTTGCTGAGATTTAGGAGACCTCTTTTTCACTGTTGTTTAATTACCAATGTAAGTAATAAAATGTTTTTATATGCATGCTGGTTCAGAAGTGTTTTATGTTTTGTTTAACTACGCCTGCCCAGGAAAATACCTATTAGCAAACTAAGAATAAAAATTTATTATACAGCTTAAATTATTTTAAATTGTAAGAATTTTTTTCCATTAAAAAGACTTTATTCGAAAAAATTTTGAACTGTAAAATAATGAATTTAAATAATAAATAAATCCACCTGGCCTGAACTGCAATATTTAAAGCCCAAATTATTATTTCAAAAACTCTTCTACCATGTTAAGTCCAATCGCTGTAGCTGAGTTTGTTTGTTTGTTAGGAGTTGCTCTGGACCAATGGTGGGAAGAAGAAGAAGAAGAACACCGCCCCGCAACAACAACAATAAAAAAACAAAAAATTATTACAAAAAAAACTCTACCACGATAAGAACGCCAACAATTGTAGCAGATGATGTTCGGAGGAGCTACGAACCAACAATGGGAAGAAGAAGAAGAAGAAGAAAGCAATTTAATCTGCCCAAAACCATTCGATTTGTCTCATTTCCTGTCCTGAACTACAATATTTAAAGCCCAAATTATTATTTCAAAAACTCTTCTACCATGTTAAGTCCACCAATTACTGTAGCTGAGTTTGTTAGGAGTTGCTATGGACCAATGGTGGGAAGAAGAAGAAGAAGAAGAAGAAGAAGAAAGCAATTTAGTTTGCCCAAAACCATTCGATTTGTCTCATTTCCCCTACTTCAATCACTTGCTCCTGTGGCTTCAGAACGCCTTTTAGCTTCATCAGAATCATTTGTTCCTGTTGCTTCTGACAAAAGCCCAAAGTCTCTTCTAACTCCTCTCCCTTTCCCCAAAACCATTCGATTTGTCTCATTTCCCCTACTTCTTCAATCACTTGCTCTTGTGGCTTCAGAACGCCTTTTAGCTTCATCAGAATCATTTGATCCTGTTGCTTCTGACAAAAGTCCAAAGTCTCTTCTAACTCCTCTCCCTTTCCTTCAAAAGCTTCTTCAACTCCTCAAGCTCTTGCGCCAATATTAGTAACTGATGATCATCCAACGCTTTCTTTTTGGTCCCTACAAAACAAAAAATAATAATAATAATAATAATAATTAATAAATAAAAATCGCCTTGTGTTAGACAAATTCATTCATAGACTTAAAATTCTAAAAATTAAAGAAAAGAAATCGAGATATATGTAAGCAAAAATCACACTTTTTAACAATAATACATCCTTCCAGGAGAACACTTTCTTTTTAGTC